GGGCCCCTCGGCGGCGGAGCGGGGCCGGGCTGGGGCGATTCCCGCAGCGCCGGGACCGAGCGGCAGCAGCCCCGGGCGGGGCCGGTGCCCGCGGCCCCCGCGCTGCCGGACCGAGCGGGGGCCGCCCGGGAAGGGATCGAGCGCGCTTCCCAACCGCGCGGGGGGCGCTTTCCCCGCAGCATCGCCCTTTGCCGGCCCCCAACCTGTACCTGTCCGAGCGCCCGGGGCGAGGCAGGAGCTGGCGCTCTCCAAGTGTCTCCTTTTGGAGACCGCGGTCACATCTCAGCTTGGTTAGCGTGCGGGATGTCACTTCGTGTCGGTTTACATCCACAGGGAATGCGCTCAAATCTGGCTGTCAGAATCTGTTTTCACCAAAATAGTATCGTGCAGTTTATTTTTTGGTTTGAATTTTTATGTAATGAAACCAAAAGCACAGAAACCTAAGATTTCTAGTTTGGATCTGCTGCATTTTGGCAATAAGTTGTTCACAGCACCCAAACCCTGCCTCTTTATTTTTCAGCCAAGGGTGTCTTCTGTTTGTTATTATATATCATATAAATGTATATAATTATAGCACATATTTACAGCCTACATTCAATAAAGTATCCTAATGCAAATAGGGCATAATCCTATTTGCCATATCCTATAATTCTACAAATTAATTTTCAAAGAATTTGTATGGTAATTCTGTCATGAGAAAAAAGAGATTAGGACGTGAATAGTAAATATCAATTAATGCAATTAATTTACTGGGGAAACAGGTATTTATTTTTACTTTAGGTATTTTTTTATTTCTTTGCCTATTAATTGAAACTACTCCAGCCACTGGTTCCACTACAAATAATTTTCAAACAGTAAGTATATGATTTCCATTGTACTCTTATTCTGGTAATTAGTAGAGAGAGTGGAAATTTTTAAAATAAACGTTGAACAGCATAGCTGGCAGCTTACCACGTAAAAAAATCAGCATATTTAAGCTCAGCTAGTTGGATTGTACCATTTCATAACAGATTGTTAACACTTGGTCCTGTTTTTTAAGATCCTATTTTCTTTGTGCCTTGGGCATCAAAGTCTTCATTAAGCAGCCCACTGTGTTATTCCTGCTATGATACTGAAAACTGGAATACACTTCTTGTTAATATGTTTATCTGTAAGACGAACTCATAATTCAAACAACTGCTGGAGAATCTTCTCTAATTAAATATATACCTTGTTAAAGCAGTTGGAGCTGTAAAAGTAACATAGGCTGGCATATAAGAGCCAACTCCACTTTTGTCTTATTTGGAACCATCTGCAGTTCCACATAGGTGGATTTTGCCAACATCTGCAAACCATAGTAGGTCTCTGGTGTTCATTGCAATAGTAAGGACTAAATCTTAGTTTGTAAGAATTATCTACACACTTGCTAATTTGACTTGATACATTTACTTTTATGTAGCAATCAATAAAATTACCCCAGATGACAGAATATATTTGTGAAGGATTATAAGTGGGACAGTAGCTGGACCTAAGGCAATACAGCACTGACAAGGAAAGAGCAAAGCTGTTGCATATTCAGCAGACAGTAGTGCTGCAGGGCTCTGTAGCACAAGGTAGCCAGCATTCTCCATATTAAAATAACTCTGTGTATCTCCTGTTCCCAGGATCACATTATGCTCTCTGAGAATCTTTGGCTCCTTTTTAGCATGCATTATAAAGGAGAGTGTATTTGATGATGCTGTTTTGTATGCATATCTGTGAGTGCCCCACCTCAAAATGTTGTGGCTGTTAGTTGAAGTAAAATCTTACTGACCAATCTCAAAAGATACATTTCTCATTGCTGTAATTAAAGTAGGCATCTAGGTTGTAGTCAGAACCCCTACTAATATCCTCACCGATAGGAAGGTTGTAGTGTGGACTCAACCCTTACTAAACACAAGAGAATCTGCACAGAGAGACATTGTGACTGCTCTTACCATGAAGAAAACACCAACAGACACATTCATCTTCTTAGATACCAGAGGATCCAAGTGGAAAATGTAAATGCTTAAGAAACTGTATGGTGAGTCAGTGGCAAAGACAGAAATAGAAGCATTGCCCTGCTTTTATTCCTATATTGGGTTGGAAGGAGTGAAGTGTAAGCTTGTGGGAGAGGGAGAAAAGAAAAACACAGAGGAAAACACAATACAGTGTGAAAAATAGTGCATGAAGTGAGTTGCAAATGCTGTAAGCTTTGATTTTAACCATTTCTTGAATTTATCTTACTTGGGATAAAACAGGAAAGTTCTGGGCAAAATAATGGAAAAAATACTGATGGAATGGATAAATCACCCTCTCATGACTTCAGAAAAGTTGCAAGCTTGTTCCATCTGTGAAAAATATAAACTTATCCTGAGAATATATGTAAGACATATTGCAATATGTATATAATGGCTTGGAACTGTATGATTTTTAAATGCAATCAGTGCATTTAAAATCTCTCTCACTCCAAGAAGAGATTTATATAAGAAACCAAAATCAGTTTCCTTCTCCTTTCCCTTTCTTTCTTCTTGTCTTACTTCTCCATTGTAAAATTACCTCATCCTAGACTAAGTGCTCACATGTTTTATAGCACATATGATTAAAAGGAGCCCGGATTCATAAATTAAAACTGAGCCTTTAACAGTTTACTATGACTGCATTTGGAGCTCATTCCTCAGTCTAGTTCACTGACATGCCGGCTGGACCACTGAGGCAGGTTAAAACTCAGCGCTCAAACAGGACATGATAATTCAACCCAAGCCTCAAGGTGCCTCCTGGAAGGGCACTGCCTGTGTCATGACCTGTGCTGTGGTGCCACAGCTGGCTGGGGGCAACAGCAGGCTCTGCTCTGTGCCTGGGAGCTGTGTGCAGGGTTAGTGTAAGTGCCACTGATGCTGTGTGCAGGGTTAATGTGTCACTGATGCTGTGTGCAGGGTTAGTGTGTCACTGATGCTGTGTGCAGGGTTAGTGCCAAGAGCCACTGATGCTGCGCTCATACAGACAGTGACTGGAGGATGCAGCCACATTGATCCAGTGACAGCATTTCTGCTTTGTCAAATGAATGTAATACCAAAATGGTTAATTAAATAGTTCATTCAACTTTGAGATCTTGTCCAAATGGGGGAGGTTTATTATAACAAACTTTGGGAAGCAGTGTCAATTTTTAGTATGTGGTCAGAATTTCAGACAGCCACAACATTGTGATTTGTTTTGTGTTCATTTATTTCAGAGATTTAGCAAAACAGAGCCTATAAGCAAGCTGGAAATCTTTCTATCACCTGGGAGATGTGATCATCTAATAGCTCCATTTACAGCAGTGTGGGATTGGGGTACTTCACTGATAAGCATAACATGAAAAAACTTTATAGAATAATTCAGCAACACAAGCTCTCAGTGCTGTCTGGAAAATAGCTCAGGATATGTGTAGGATGCAACACTGCATAATTAGAAGGTGATATTTCTGTGTAGTAAATATACACCCTTTTTTTTTCTCATTTCCCTCATTCCTGTCCATCCGTGATGCCAAATGTTGCATATTGGTTTGTACAAATAGATAAACATTTCTCAGCAAATACAATTAACAAATGTCCTTAATAAATAATACACTTTAAAAGTTTCTCCACTTTTGCGCTGCCTGTGATTAGTCCTACTCCTACTGGCTGTGCCTGGCTGCAGCATTTCCTGAGGGATTGTCTGCCAGTTAAGTGTAGCTTAAACACACTGCAGTAAATTGAACCTTACCCTTTCCAACTTTCCAACCACTCCCTCTTATTCTGTTTGCCCAAGATAAGGGAGACTTGTTCTTTTAAGGATAAACTCCTTTTTGCTATTATTTCAGACTGGTTCAACATTCACAAGCAGTGCTTTGTAAACTGGGGTAGGCAGCTCTTACTTCCAGCTATTTATTCCTGTATCTGTATCTTCCAGCTTCATGTGTTATGAAACCAACAGAATTGCTAGGACAGTAATGGCAAAAAGACATGGCAAAAAAAAAAAATTAGGTTATTTTTCATCCATAAGACCAATACATACCAATATTGTCACTGAAACTGTTCACTCATTTGCTCTTGTACATTCTGTAACAATTTCTTCAACTTTCTATGAAAGGTTTGAAAGCTGATATGCTGGTCATATCTTAAGAAAATAATTTATAATACAATCCAATTAAAAGTTTTCATCTGCAAATAGTTCTAAGCCCCTTTCAGCTCTCACTGAGTTCAGAAGGAATGACTCTTTCAAGTTTCATCTTAGTGGGCTTTTTTTCTTAGAGGACTTATCTTGTGACTAAATTTATCAGACAGAATTCAAAAGCACCCAGATCCTGATACTCAGTCTCAGCAACATTTTAGAATCATGTTGTATATTCATAAATAGCATCTGTAGGTTCAGGGCAAATTAAAATCAGATCAACCAGATTATTCCTAAATATTTAATGTAAACTTACCTTATGAAGAGTATGTGTTTGGAGAATGCAAAGACGAACTCCTGTTCTCATAGCCCCCAAAGTGTAC